GGATTCAAACCCGCCACCTTAGGTGTATGTGGCTGGCGCCTTAGCCGGTTGAGCTATAGGTGCCGAGCCTGATTTTCAGTTCTAATGACATCTACTGATACACACCACAAACTGAACCTTGAAACCAATTTTATTTGAATTACAGGGAGAGACTGTGGAGTAATAGGGGGTTGCAAAAGGCTGATGTTCCCACAGGCGGTCTGCAGGAGAGGGGCCTCGGGTCCCCGTCTAGACTGCCGCCCTCACAAGACCTCAGCTGTGCTCAGCTGGTCCTCAATTCTCAGTGCACCAGCAGAGCACCAGAGAATACTTTCTGGAAAATTTATGTTTAATAATTTTTAAGCATGGAAAATCTTGATGGGGACGTCCTGACCTTTATTAATCTCTATACTTATCGAAAGTGTAGTATGATTTCCACAATGAATCACACCTGGTGGGACGGAGCAGGCACTCTAAGTAAGCAGTGGCAGGCCCTGTTTATAACCCTCACCTGGATGGACTACAGAGGGGTGGGGTAGAACCGTTCATTCTCACATGAGCTTTTCCTCTCAGGGATAAATAAAGGATAAAATCTAAGATGGATCACAGAAATTTTCAATGTAGCAATTTATTTCATTCTTACAATTGATCTATAGGCTAGTATTTATTTCCATTTTTTAAATGAGGAAATTAAACCTTGCCCCCTACACATTCTCTGTGACCCAGCAGCCATCAATTAACCTTTTTACAAAACCAGTAAACATCAGACAAAAGCCTGCAGGAAGCAGGATGTCCAAATAACCAGAATTTCTCCAGCTGTCCCATAATGGCTGGTGTGGAAAATAATAATCCGAAGGCACTGAACGAACCACAGTTATGTCTCAATTAGAATTTAAGTTATTCAGTAGTTTTCATGTAAAATCCAGTGTATTTCTTTTGAGTGACCCAGCGGTGGCATGTGGGATAGTTCCCAGGGGAAAACAAATTTCCATCTAATCTAGGTCAACAGGAGTTTGCCACCTTTCAATTTCTGTTTCCCAGTGAATAAAATTATATGACTATGAAGCAGACTAGCCAATGCAGGAATAAACACACATATTTACATTCGACTGATGTTTTTTTAAAGGTGCCAAGACATGGGGGAAAGGACCTTCTCTTCAATAAATGCTGCTAGGAAAACTAGACAGCCACATGCAGCTGCAACTCAACCCTACTTCTCACCATACAGAAACCAACTCCCAAAGAATTAAAACACAAAACCCCAAACTATAAAACTACTAGAAGAAAACACAAGGGAAAGGCTTTTGGATAGGAGCCTCGACAAAGATTTTATTTAAACATTTTAAAGTGTTTAAGAGCTCAAAAGTCCAGGCAACAACAATAAAAAATAGATAAGTGGAACCAAATTAAACTAAAACGCTCTGCACAGGAAAGGAACAATCCAGAAAGGGAAGAGACAACCTGTTGGATGGATTAAATATTCACATATTCATTCAACAAGGGACTAATATCCAGACTAGACAAAGAAATCAATGCAACAGCAAAAAATAATTTCATTACAAGTTGGGTAAAGGACCTGAACATACAAACGGCATGTTTTCAAAAGAAAACATACAAATGGCAAACAGATACTTAGGAAAAATACTCAAAGTTACTTATGATCAGGGCCATACAAAGTAAAGCTGCAATGAGAAGCATCTTAGCCCAGTTAGAATGGCTACTATCAAAGAGATGAAAATTACAAGGCTATGAAGAAAGGGAAGTCTTAGACACTACTGGTGGGAATGTAAATTAAAATACTCATCGTGAAAAATGATATGGAGAATTCTCAAAAAACTAAACTTAGAACTGTCACACTCCTGGATATTTGTCCAAAGGAAAGACAATTGGTGTATCAGGGATCCCTGCACTCCCACATTTATTTCAGCTTAGTCACAGTAGCAAAGATCTGGAATCAACCTAAGTTTTCATCAATATACAAATGGATAAGGAAAATATGGACTATCTATACACACATGTAATAAAAAACTGTGCAGCCATGAAAAAGAATGAAACCTTGTCATTTGCAGCAACACAGAGGGACTGGAGGTTGTTGCATTAAGTAAAACAAGCCAGGCACAGGAAGACAAACGTCCCAAGTCCTCACTCATTCCCGACAGCTAACAGAACTGATCGCAGGGAGGCAGAGCTCAGAACGACAGTTACCCTGGGCTGAGAGGGGCGTGTGACGGAGGCAGAGCTCAGAACGACAGTTACCCTGGGCTGAGAGAGACGTGTGACGGAGGAATGAGTACAAACACACAGTCAGAGAGAAGGAACAAGTTCTAATGTTTAACAGTACAGAAGGCTGGCTATATTTTACAGTGATATTATTTTACATTTCACAATAGGTAGGAGACAGGACTTGAAATGTTCCAAGGACACAGAAGTGATAAATACAGTCTACAATCACTGGGCCTGGTAGCTTAGTGGATAGGGCACTGGCCACATAGACCGAGGCTGGCGGGTTCTAACCCAGCCCGGGCCTGCTAAAACAACAATGACAACTGTAACCAAAAAAAGCCAGGCATTGTGGGGGCTCCTGTAGTCCCAGCTACTTGGGAGGCTGAGGCAAGAGAATCACTTAAACCCAAGAGTTTGAGGTTGCTGTGAGCTGTGACGCCACAGCACTCTACCCAGGGAGACATAATAAGACTCTGTTTCAAAAAAAAAAAAAAGAAAGAAAGAAAGAAAATTTAAAAATAAAATAAAATCACTGATCCAAATATGGAAATTTTAACTAATGCTGCTGGGACAACTGGCTAGTCATTTGGGAAAAGACAAAATTAGATGCCTACCGCACGTCATACGTCAGAATGAATCCTGACACAAAGGCAAATCAATCAAACCAAGGAAAAAGGAACTCAAGGCAAGGCAAGATTTTCTACCACCTAAAATCCAGACACAATAGAAGAAAAGATTAGTAAAATTGTCTACACAGATATTTGTTATTATACAACATCACCATAAACACAGCCAAAATACAACTGACAAAGGGAGGGAAGATGTGTACAACACACAGCACAGCAACGAGCCACCATCGCCCAGACAGAGAGCTGGGAATCAGAGGGGACAAAAAGCCCGAGGAGCCGAGAGAGAAAAAATGGGGGCAAGATACAAATAAGCAAGTCACAAAAAGATATAAAAATTGTCCTTAATCATATGAAAAGATGGAAAAGGTATTCATTCAACTTCACTTATAGTAAGATAGAATTCAAACTGCATTGAGATACCATTTTTATTTACTTGCCTTCCAGACCAGCAAGGCAGTGGGGAGACGGGGATTCTCGTGCTTTGCTGGTAAGCACACAGAATGTGCAACCTTTCTGGAGGAAAATCAGCCAATATCTGGCAAAGCTGCATTCAGACTTACGTTTGGATCTAGCAATCCACTTGTAAGACTGTACCCAAAAACTATTTCTCCATTAATATGGACATACAAATGCATGAGATTATTCATTTATAATTAAAAAATACTAGAAATGATCTAAATGTCCATATATTATGCATTGGAAAATGGACGAATAAACCATGGTATATCCACACAACAGATTATTACACAGTAATAAGGAATGAAGGAAATCTCAATGAACTGACGTGGATTGATTTCCAGGATATATTGTAAATGAAAAAAGCAAAGTGCAGAAGAATAACTACAGTGTGCTGGCCTTCAGGTGGGAAAGGCATGTGTGAAAACACACGTGCCTGCGATCTTTTAAAAAGTTGTATCATAAAATCAATCTTCCAGTCAAAAACCCAAACTCATAGAGGAGGTAAGGCTAGATGATTAGCCTACTTAAGATTAGACCATGTGCTTTAGTGAACTATTCCACGTGAAAGAGTTAATTAGCGCAGTGCCTGGGGCACACGCAAAAAGTGTTCGTGGTATGACAGTTAGTGTTAATAAAGTCAAAAGCACAAGATCTATCCTCTTAGCAATTTTCGAGTATGCAATACATCATTATTAACCATAGTCACTGAGCCATACAACAGTTCTCCAGAAATTATTCCTCCCTTTGGTCAACATCTCCCAGCCCCTCGTAACCACCACCTGTGCTCTGCTCTGTCTCTATGAGTTGGGCATTTTCAAATTCTGCATGTAGCAAGCACATTCTGTTTGTCCTTCTGTGTCTGGCTCATTTCACTCAGCATGGTGTCCTCCTGCTTCATCCAAGTTTCCACAAACAATAGGATTGTCTTCATTTTTAAAATTATTTTTCCATATGCTACCTTGTCTAAGAAGGACTTTCTTCTTGTTTAAAGCTGAATAATATTCCATTGTGTATACACACCACGTTCCTTTCTGTTGCTGTTGACAGGCATGTGGGTTGGTTCCTTATCTTGTAAATAAGGCTACAATGGACATGAGCATGTAGACTCCCCAAACATACTGATCTCATGTCAATGTAGACATGAGCATGTAAACATCCCCAAACATACTGACCTCATGTCAATGGACATGAGCATGTAGACATCCCCAAATATACTGACCTCATGTCCATGGACATGAGCATGTAGACATCCCCAAATATACTGACCTCATGTCCATGGACATGAGCATGTAGACATCCCTGAACATACTGACCTCATGTCCATGGACGTGAGCATGTAGACATCCCCGAACATACTGACCTCATGTCAAT